ATGAAGTAGTTTTAATATGTTATTAAGTGGGAAAATCCACCTGAGAGGACATGTACCTGTATATAAAAAACGCGCCCTATAGTCCGGTGCGCCTTATGTGTGTGTTAAATACAGAAATGGCACACATAACTGAGACTGCGCCTTTTAGTCCGGTGCACCTTATGGTCGTGAAAATACGGTAAAAATCAAGTTTCAAAGTCAAAAATGCCTCCCTGAACTGTCATTACTTCCTAAATTTATTAAAATTAATACATTGATTGTGTTATTGTGTGTGATTGCGTTACTGTGTCTCTGGGTCTGGGGAAAGGGGAGGGATGGAAGTTGATGGGTTGAAGAAGGTTCCCACGGCTTTCCAATTTTGTGGAAAAGTAAATCCATATTCTCTCTTCTCTTCAACTGTCCTTTCCAGCTGTTTTCCTATTTTCCTCCACTCTCACTCAGCCTTCCCATCTTCTTCCTCTCTCCTCTTCTATCATCTTACACTACTGTAAAACACAGACACTATATAATTACCACAATATTTGTAGCTACAAGCAAAAACAACTTAATAAATTCACATTAAAGGGATGATTATCTCTGACACCATCATTCTGCGACACAGGGACACTTTGTCTTCAAACCCAATCATCAACACCGTTGATCGCTTTATTTTATTAGCGGACCTGGAACACTGGGTCAGACCTTCTGGACCAGAACTAAAATGCTTTAAATCCTCCTGAAGAACACAGACTGTTTAGTGTCAGCAGGTAACTTTCCTTCGGAACCACAGAGATCCCATGTAGCGTTCCCCAGGGCTCCATCTTAGGGGCCCTTCTATTCAGTGTCTCCATGCTCCTGCTGCCTCAGATCCCCATAGACAGGGGGTCTCCCAACGTTTTCCAGGCCAAGGACCCCCAAACTGATGGCAAGAAGGAGCAGGGACCCCCTAATTATACATATTGTGTGGAATTGTGTTATATCAAACTGGTCCTATAGTCACTCTATTACAGATGGTGTAATCTACCGAAAGTAATTTCTCCCTGGGATTATTAAAGTATTTTTAATTCTGATTCCTGGTTGATGGGACAGGTGTTGTGAATGAAACGGTGCCCAGCTTGAAAGAGCTCCTGCGTGTCACTGAATGTGTGCATTGATGACTGAAAGACATCTTCTGCCTCCAATTATCTGTTTACTACAGTGTGTTGAATTCATGTTAATATGTATTTAAAGACATTTCAATTAGTGGATAAAATTGCAGGGGGGAATACATTAAAAAAAATAAATCAACAGGAACTTTTGCGACCCCCATGCAGTGCCTCTGTGGAAGCCTCTAGGGGTCGCGGACCCCCTGTTGAAGACCTCTATCATAGACAATACAAGTTACCGTAGCGATGCAGTACATCAGTTCATTAACATGGCTGAAATCAGATTAATTGTGATTAATCTATTATTGAAATAATCCTCAACTAATTTAATCGATTAATCATTAATGGAGTGTAGAGACTCTAAAACATGTCTTAGGGTGACAGAGCAACCAAACCTTAAGCAGCTATTATACCAAAAATGTAGGAAAAATATATAAGCATTTTGCATTCAAGATTAAAAAAAAAACTTTTTCGTCTGTCAATATGCTCTATGCAGAACTCCTCAAGTCGAAAAGTTTTAGTTTAATCTGGTTTCATTTCATAAACAGTCTTCTTTAATGAACCTTTGGATATCCGATGATTAATCGAAAACATCGATTTGACAATATCGAATCGATAATGTTATCGACAATATCGATTTGCAAAATAATCGTTAGTTTCAGCCCTAATATGAACCCATTCCAGCTCTGGATAAATGCAGAGAGGAAATCAATGCATGGATGAACAAAATGTTCTTCAGCTTAATAAAACTAAACTGGAGTCATAGTTTTTGGAAGAAAGGAAGAATGTGTCAAACTCAGCTTCAGCTAATCCAGCTAGAAAGCAGCAATCAGGCTCTAAATCTGGGGGTAGTGATGAACTCAGTGGCTCATAAAGACAGGAACAAAGTGGGCCTTCTATCACCTGGAGAACTTCTCCAGGATTAAAGGTCTAATGTTGAAGACCAACTTCCTGCTTTGTTTATCTCTAGTAGCATTGATCCCTGCAGCTTTTTTTTTACTGGTCTGCCTAGAAAGTGGATCAGACAGCTACAGCTGATCCAGAATACTCCTGCCTGAGTCCTCACTAGAACAACAATAGCAGCCATTTAAAATGGCCCTTCCCTGTCAAATGCCAACCGAATAGCAGCGTAATTCCCTCAAGCTACCAGCGAAATCTCCTCCAACTTCTAGCAACCGGAGTTACCCCCTCTTGCATATGTTTTAATCTGACTCGACCCTTTCACTGAATTACAGGGTCTGACCAGGAGATGATGCTTCTCTTTAGATCCTAATGTCTATAAATCATGACAGAAAGTATATTATAGATGTTTAAAAAGGAATCTTGGGGGACCAGCCAAGGGCCCATCAAGGAAAGTTGGGAAATTTTAAATGGCTACTACTCTTAGAAAATGGACCATCCCTGTATCTAAGAAGGTGGAGTCTTTAATTATGAATCTGAGCCGCAGCCATTTCTTCATTTTCTCATCTACAGAACTCCAAATTTCCTAATGAATAAAATCTGAACACTGTTTTGTCACCTGGATTAAGTAAAAGTTTAATTAACAAACTAACCCTTTATCTTTCAGACTTCCATTTATTTATTTGTTTAACAGAAAAAAAAGTGCCACTTTTATTGAAGTGTGTAGTTTATAAAAACACCTCAGCTGCAACACAATTCATCATTTAGCAGATTCTGAAGCACTTGTTCAAATTACCAAACCCTGGAGACCTTCCCATAATGACGCGTCCTTGAAAAAGCATACTTCAAAACTCTCCACTGAGTGCCTCTTTATAATTAAAAGAAAACAATCTGGCCTCCTCTCAAAGGGTCCTACTGGAGCTATAAGAAGTTCAATGAAGTAATAATGGGAGAAACCATCCTGTTGTTCCTGCCCTGAGCACAGGCCCGGTTCTCCCACTAAGGTTGACCCTCATTACCAAACCCAGTAGTCTCCATTGGCTAAACTCCAGCCAAGCGTTTCTCACTGGGACACGTGTGAACAGAAGCCTCTGCTTTCTCAGTGTCCTTCCTCCACGTTTAAAGAGTTAGCGAACTGGCTCAGGTACGGCGTCTGCCTCACTGCGGATGTGTGAGTGATAATGAAGCTGCAGCAGCTCCCCTGACATCCAAGCATCTGTTGCTGCTGTCGGCACATATTCACCCTGCCCTCATTTATCCGCACACATGAATCATCATGGCCGACGCAGATAAATGCCACTTAGTTTAACCTCTAGTGCGCACACTTAGGGACGACGCCCAACCAGCTGGAATCTCAGCCACTATCAGTGGAATTTCCCACGCCTTCCTAACTAAGGCCGCTGCGTGCTGACTGACTGCACAACAACCGTTTAGCTAATTGTCCATATTTACAAATAGAGCCCCCCATGTTTAAGAATAACAGCATCACCAACTTTACCCTCATCTTTAAACAGAGTGTTCTCCATCACATATTTCTCTATTTCACAGCTCAAGTTTGATGCAGACCTCACAAAACAAACCCTTCATGTCCATCACCCATTTACAGCAGCTCTACGTTATCCTCACTATCTGTGTGTCATACATAAACAGAAACACGCATCAGCATTAAGGTGCCCAATTCAACTGGAGTCCCATCCTGATCTCTACCTTTGCCAAAAAATCGAGGATCAGCGAGCAAAAGGTGTAAATGATCCTGAAAACGAAAATATTTTCCATCTCAGACACAAGAAACAGTTTTCAGTGAACTCTGAAAGATGACCTCATAGCTACAGTTTCCTCATCAAAAGCATTCATTTTTTTCTAAAATAATGAATCCAGAGCAGATGGGAGCAGAATAAAGTATTAATTCTACTGCTAACCCCTCCTACCCCCATGAATGAGGATGAAAACCTTTCAGGTTTAGACAGAAGCAGGTTTCTTCACTCAGAGGTTAAAGATATTTAGCCTGATTTTTACCTCTTCTAAGAGAAATCCAGTATTCCGATTCCCAATAATGTCAATTTAAATTATAGCAAACCTTAAAAGCATAACTCAAATGATTTGAGATAAATTTAGAATCTCTAAATCTTACATGTTTGTTCCTTTCAAATTGTAATGTCCATAAACTTTTCATTATTTTTACAGTATGAAACAAGCACTACATAAATAAGCGTTTCGAAATATCTAAATATGTTTTACTTCTAGTTAAGCCCAAAAAACAAGCATAGAGCTCCTCTCCTTCTGGGCTGCTTAGTGCGCCACCCACTGATTGGCAGGACTAAAACCTGTAGCTTTCACCTTCTCTGCATCTGCTGATTGATTTACTATCACAGAGTATTAGGGCATTTTTTTTTCTGAGAATAAAGTCGTAATATTATGAGATTAAAGTGATAAAATCACGAGAATAAAGTCAGAACATTAAGAGAATAAAGTTAATATTACGACTTTATTCTCGTAATGTTGCGATTTTATTAAAATCATTTTTCAACTTTATTCTCGTAATTTTATGACTTTATGTTATAAATGTATGACTTTATTCTCGTAATGTTACAATAATATTCTTGTAATATTATGACTTTATTCTCATAACTTTGCGACTTTATCTCATTTATTCTCATATTAAAAAGAAAATAAATCTCAAGCCTGGCTTTAATAGGTTGTAATTTACAATCTGGGCGGGACGGCTAAAAAACATTCCAACCCACAGAGAGAACAGAAGCTTCAGATATAACAGGAAGGAGCGTCTCCAGCTGTTTTTCACTTTCCAACAGAGAAAAGTTGTGGAAAAGTTCAGCCACACATTTTATTATCCATCATTACAAAAGCTCCACAGGCTCAAATCTGGAAACAGAAATATTTCAGAGGAAATCAAATCTAAGCCCATTTAGAGGTTCTGCTCGCTCCGCAGCAGAACCGGTCCTCTGCTCACCTCTCCGGTCCTGAACCCGGACCGTGATCTCCAGCAGTGGTTCCGTCTCCCGGTCTAGCCGCCGCATAATGACCACATCCCCGCTGTCTCTGTTCACGCTGATCGGGCAGCTCTCCACCTCCGGCTCCAGCAGCTCGAAGGTGGCGGAGCCAAACCTGACCGGGTTCAGGTTCACCACGACCGAGCCGATCCCCGCGTCCTCAGACACGCTAATGAAAATCGGGGTTTCTGGTTCCGGGACCGATCTGGATCTCCGCGCTTGAACTGGCTGTTTCAGTTTGGGACCGGCCGCGTCCGCGACAGGCCACTGTCGTGGGTTTATTTCCACGGAGACACTTTGGCTCGTGCGCGGCGGCCAGCCGCGGTCCCGCGCGAACACCTGGAACTTAATGGGCTGTTCCAGACCCAGGATGGAGTCCACCAGCAGGATGTCGCCTGTTTTGGGCACCGCGTAAAAACTTCCGTTTTTGGGCACAGTGAAGTAGTAGAGCTCCGCGTTCTTCCCGCTGTCTGCGTCCTGCGCGCTGAACGAATAGATGGCCGCGCGCAGCGCAGTGGCATCATCCAGGTCCAGCTTCACATCCGCGCTGGGGAAGACGGGCTGGTGGTCGTTGGTGTCCAGAACGTCCACCTTGATGGACGCCACCAGATCCGGAGCGTCCTGTCCGCAGCAGCAGGCAAGGCTCAGTGCGTACTCAGCCCGCTCCTCTCGGTCCAAAGTCTGGCTGGTCCTCAGCAGGACGGTTCCCCGCTTGTGGTGCGCAAACACTCGGAAGTCCTCGCTTCCATCTCCCAGAAGTTTGAAGCGCGGCGCGGGTGAGCCGGGCTCCCCGGTGCCGCACAGCCGGAGAGAGTTCAACCGCTTCAGCGGGACGCTGAGCCCGTTGACCCGCGAGCCCGGAGACGAGTTCTCAAAGACATGTCCGTGAAAGAATGGCACGGGGTCCGACGTCCTGTTGGCGGCCAAGCACGGCAACAAAAACGGTAAAAAGGTGATCCAAAGCATGGTCGGGTCTGTCTTGGCTGATCTCAGAGCGCTGGTGTCCCTCCGATGTCCATGTGTCCTCCCAGGTCCCCGCGGACCTGCCTCCCTGCGTCCTGCTGAGATCCAAAAACTTGGACTAAACTGGAGCCCTGGGCTCTCCGGCACCATGCTCCGGCAGCCAGCCTCAGATGCCTGTGTGAGTCTGAGCTGTGCGTCCTTCTCTCCCAGCTCTGCTGCCTGCCTGTGCGCGTTACAGGGAAAATGAGCGCGCGCTTACCTCAGTCCGCTTCTTTGCGACCCACTCACGCAGCAGAAGGTACATCTGAGAGCGCATCCTCAGACCCAGAGGAGCGGACACCAAACCGCCTGAAAACACGCAGCAATGGGAAAAACAACTTTTAGGAAACGTCTCACTCCTCCGCGCTCAAACGTGTGCGTGGGCGACGCCGAAGTGTCCGTAGAAAAGAGGCCGAGCTCTCCTCTCCTCTCACTCTTGCGCATCCAAATCTATCGCTGCTGTTTCCAATAAGCCTTTTGGATTAAAATTATGTAAAAATCAATCATCTGGAAAAGCCTCCTGGGAATAAAAGGAATAAAAGAGCTCCAGGAAGCTAAACTCAACAGTCCTGACTTTATTTCCCTCTCTTGTTGCCTCTTAGTCTCCAGGTCCATTCAGTTGAAGAAGTCTGAGACTATTTGTGGATCCAAAGCTGGCAGCTTAATACTGAAACTTGGCTGGTTTTAGAAGTTTGAGGTTTTCGTCTTCTACAACTTTTTGTATTTTTCTGTAGAGAGGGGTTCCCCCTCTGGTTTTCTGTGACATTGCAGACCATAAATGACAGATATGTCTGTATTTAAGGGTAGCAAATAAAAAAAGGAAAGACAAAAATCTGTTATTTCTTAAATGTCAGTTTTTAAAGACATATCGGAAATGTACATATTTATGATTTAGCAACATTTAAAATGTTAAAATGAGAAGGTTTCTCTTAGAAGTGAAAGATTTCAATATATGCCCGTTTTAAAGGTAAAATATTGGTGACATAATATGTATAAGTTTAGGTATTTGCCAAAGAAAAACGTTATAGATCATTTAACTGTTAACAACTGTTAGGGGCGGATTTAGAAAATGTTGGGCCCTAGGCAAATACAGGCAGGGGGCCCTCTGAATTGAGAAGACAATACATAAGACAGACCCATTATACAGATAGAGAAATGTTAATAGAATAGACATCCATTATTTGTTGTAGGTTATGTCCCTCTCCTCTTGTCCCTTTTCTTGTTGTTTTTCTTTATATGTTTTGTACTCAGCTGACTTTTCATGCTGTCTCAAAAGGGATTAAAGATTTTTTCCAAGAACTAAGCTCACCTAGCTGATTGCTCCTTCCTGTGTTTCCAAAAAGGCCAAAGTAAATAACCCAGTCCTTCTTTTAACTGTAGACAAGCCATGATCTGCTTATCTGTTCTCCATTTTTCATTTGGATGAAATAATTGCTGCATGAATCATTACAGCAGACAAAATAGAGGAGAGCAGGAGGCGGGGTTACCAATCTACTTGCTCTGGAGAGCAGAGTTCGCTGCTTTTAGATGTTGTCAATCTGGCCTTTTGAGGACGCATCCCATGAAATTGAACGCATCAATTTATTCACAGGAAGTAGAAGCAGAAAAGCGGTCAACCTTCCCATTGATACTCCTCCAGGAAAAAAAAAAAACACAACTTACTGTTTCCAGTTAGGATCAGAGAGGAAAGGCCAAAAAAAACATGTTTAATATAAAACATCCTGATGATCAGCAGAGCTTCGACCTACTGTAGAAGGAATGATTATGTACTATTATTACTAGTTATCAAATAATGTATTTCTTTGCACTTTTCAGTAATAAGACTATTTAAAGTGCAGCATATGAAGAAAAAACATAAAAGGAAAGTTTCATTGCCCTGGAATAAAGGTAGTTGGACACTTGATGGAGTGAGTTATTGTACTTTTCAAAAATGTTTTATTTGCTAAGATATACCTGTAAAGTTGCCATGTCAAATGATCTGCAGTGTGATTTCTTTCATTTGAGCAAAACTATACATCAGAGGAAAAAGGCTGAAAACAAACTTCAATAATTCAGCTTATTTAAAAAAAATAGAAAAAACTATAAAAAAAAAAAAAAAAACACTGTTGGCAGATAAACTGTTCATCATGCCAAATTCTCATTTAAAGCCTTTTAAAATCTTCTTTTTTCAGACATATTGACTCAGCTTGTCTCTTCTTTGGGGCCAAAGCATTTCCCTTTGACCTGAGCAATCCTCATGAATCCTCCTCTGCTCTGGAAGAGTAGAGCATGCCTGTTTTATCTGTGCTCACCTGACCAGACTTTAGCAATCAGATTTAAAACATGAATGCCCCCTAAAGGTAAAATGTTGAATTCTGAACTCCGATCTTGATAAGAAGGCCTGACTTCAATATTCATGATGCATGTTAAATGTAGTTAACTTTGCATTTATTGACTGGAGGTTCTGTCAGTTTGTGTCTTATTACTGAAGCAGCTCACATGATCCGTGAAATTCTGTCTACTTTTAGCAAATGAATTCAGAGAAATCAGGTTGTTAACAGTCATTCTTGTCCATCCTCTGATTCTAAGCGAAATCAAATCTAACAATATTCACTATAAAGACTATAGATCAGGGGAAAAAAACACATCCTCATTGGGGTTGGCATGGACGGCCACATTTAAGAGGAGTTCTGTTATTCTGGGATGTATGAAGAAGCCATATCAGAATAACGATGAAATAAAGTCTTAACTAGTGTTGTGGAAAAAAAGTATTCAACTTTTCACTCCACTTAAATACACAAAGATCAATGGATGTCACTCAGCACTTTATTTTTTCTTGCAAAGAGAGAACAGTTCATCATACTGCATGGTAATCAGCCCTGTTCTGATCTGGTCCACCTTGTTCCCACTTACTTACAATGATTGAAAGTAAAAAAAAAAAAAAAAACATAGACACTTTGGTTAAACAGTAACATGTAATGAATAAACCTTCAGAAAGAATCTGGCTTGTTATGGGAATAATTTTGTCTTGTCTACAAACAATCCTCATTTAGGCATTGTGTGGCCTTGCAGGGGAAACAGACTTAGTAAAAAAAAACATTTTCAGTGAGTAAACAGCATAAATCAGTATATGAAATAAGAGAAATCTAAATGTTCTAAAATCTAAATGTTCCAATCACACCAGAATCAGCTATTTTATCATTAATACATCATCTGTGTTTTCTGTTTTACTTTTCAGAACTCTAGATTCTCCATGAATCCTTTGATCGAGGACAAATTTGATACTATCTAGAATGATCATTTATGTTGATTAATATTTCTTAACGGACAGAAAATTAATCAACACGATTCAAAGCGGGTGGTGCTGGTCTAAGGACAGATCTGGTAAGCAGCATTTCCTGCTGTCAACTTTGGACACATTTATGTCCTCCTCTTTATGGCTTTCTTAGATCTGAAATGAAAGCTCATCTCCACACCGTTTGCTTATTTATATGAAAGTGTCTGTGTTTCAGCTTTCAAAAGGTCGCTTCACCTGAAAGGTCACATTTTCCGGTGAAGAAGAAAACGTGAACATTAGGTCTCTTAAAAAAATAAACATTTTTGATTTTTTATAGCAAACTGGACGCAATAGCCATCATAATTTATAATAAAATCTTGTACCCTAACACCAATATTTGCAATTTACGTCATTTAATGAGTACAACATGAGTAGAGAAAATACTAATGTCTTTGTACAAAATATGAACAAAGAAAATAACTTTTAGTTTTTATTTTAATCAGAGTTAACTTCTATATTATACATTTTTTAATTGATAACAATTTTTAAACACAAAAAATAAAATAGTTTGTTTTATGGATATTTTTTTAAGTATGTAATGTACAAATATATGGAAATAAAACAAATGTGTATATTATAATATATACTTTTACATTACATACAGTAGAGAATTTTATTAGCTTTAAGTGGTATTAGCAAAATTCTAAAGCCTACCCCCTAGAAATATTACTATTATAACTTGAGGGCCTTTGGGGCAGGCAAAAGCATTGTCTGAGAACAAAATGATTGTGATTATTGAGATTTTCAGGTTCGAAAGATCGAGAAATTGTCCAGTCTGCAATGAAGATAAAAACATTTACTTTTTTGAAGAGGTCTAGTGAACATGCAAACAATAAAGTCATGTGATAAATGACAAACCTGCTGTTAAATTTTCCAAGCATCCATTGTGATGTTTGCTTGCTTTACAGCAGAGGCTTTCATAGCATAAAAATGTTTATCATTAACAAATTTCATAATGCAAGCCAGAAAACAATGAATTTTTTTGGTCATGGCGAAGATGGTGGCTACTGTTGTAGCGCTCATAAGGAGCATGTAGACATCTCCAGCCATCGTGCTAATTGGCGCTGTCACCGCCACATGCAGTCACATCCAGGCCCCGGCCTCATTAACATATTCCACGACAGCTTGAGTCTCACTGCTCTCCAAGTCCCACATCTCACTGAGACTCTGCAGCGGAATCAGTTCTCTGCTGATTGTCAATGACTTAAGGGGGCCCAGGAGGGACAATGGTCTGAGTGAAGTTCTGTGCTGCGCTGTGCATACGTGATGTCTGCTGCTCTGAGGGTCAAGTTTAACTGTCCAAGTCATCAAAAACTTCTCCCCAGAAGCCTCTTCTCCAAAAACCCTCTAATATTTTCCACTCGGGTGTCTTTGAAGGGGCTCTTCATGTTTCTAACTTCAGCCGCTGTCTGGATTGATCTCTGTAAAGTTCAGGACTGCCCTCCTAATGGTCATAGAGGTACCGACTTCTGAAAAGGACTTTTTGATTCCAGCAGACTGAGCTAAACAGAACTGTCATGTAAAGGAATGATGTTGCTCCAGATGTTGAGCTCAGTGATTTTTAGACAAAGTCTCTCCAATGTCTGACTCCATCCTGGAGAGAAATATCAGCTGTGATGCTGCCATCAACACCTTTGTTTATAGATATTGGAGATCGGCCTGTTTTCCAGTGTAGATAGAAAACCTTGAATCAATCTGACTGGATGATCTGGTGAACTGTAAAGTGCCTTGAGATGACATGTGTTGTGAATTGCACTATATAAATCAACTGAATTTAATTTAATTGATTATACACTATGCGTTTACAAGGAGCACGAATGGAGCCAAATTTCTGCATTACTCTCATGCTTCTGCTTGTTTTACATTTGACCAACAGTTAATTTGGACATGGGGGCATTTATCATTAGGCAATACTAGGCAGTTACCTAGGGCCCCAGGTTCCTAGGGGCCCCACAAAACTCTGTTTACATGGTTAATACAGCATATTACTTATGTTTTTGATAAAAATCTTTTAACTAAAATGCATCAGAACGCTTATGATAGTGTGTCCACCATATTGGATCAGTCCATTTGCTGCACATGTTCAGAAAGGTCCAAGCAGACAGCAGCAAACCATTTGAAAACAAACAAGCAACGAGCAGTGTTGCCAACTTAAAAGCAGCGACCTCTGCTCTCCAGAGCA